GACTACCTGCGTGGCATGTGGATTCACTGGAATAAGGCGACCAACTTGTTCCACGCGGAAGAAGTCTCGCGCATCCTAAGCTTCCCCGCCCCTCGCCTCAACGACCTGGTTCGGATTGACATGAAGGACTATGCGCTTTGCTACCAATTTCCCTCGTCTCCCACAGGCTTCCAAAACTTCTCCATGTGGCCCTTGTTCACGTGTCTGTCCATTCCCAATATCGTTGGGGTCATTGAGGCTGCTGTCTCACCCACCCGCCGGATCATCTTCGTCAGCCACTACCCGGCTATGCTCACAATGGCCGCTGAGACTATCCGGTACTGCGTTCGCATCTACGAATGGAGCGGTCTCTATGTGCCTATGGTTCATGCCCGTCATGTCAAGGACTTGGTCCAGGAACCCGGTCCGTACATTCTCGGTATCACCGCCGAGTGCCGGTCTCTTTTCAACGCTCCTTCAGATGCTTTGGTCATCGATCTCGACCGGAATTTCGTCTTGACTTCGAGCCCACCGAGCGTCCTGAGTCCCGGTCAGCGCACGAAGTTCATCAACCGATTGACGCAGGCTCTCAATGGCGATGTCTCGCCGTCCGGGGTTCCCAATCATCTCCGCTCCGCCTACGCAGGTGGCAAGCTCATCCCCGCTGGTCAGATCATTGTCATGCGAGGAGAGGTGGAAAGTGTTCAGGATCCCTCCTGGTGGAACCAAGATGCGATCATGGGTGTCATGGATCATGTCTGCGAGAAGCTGGTTAGTATCCCTCCTTTCCACTCATAGTCTGTGTATACTAACTGGATGATCAGGGACGCAACACTGGCATGAAGGCTATCTTCGGTGGCTCAGTCAAGAAGCCTTTGATGACAAAGGTCTCTATGAGACATCTGAACGAGATTGTCCGCGAGAGAAACCAATACTCCCGCGATGCCATGGAGGCCTGGCAAGATTTCATTAACTTGAAGGGTCGTATGGACACGGAATTGACCAAGGTCACGAAGCGCAACAACTTCTTGGTTGAGGAGTTGGAGACTTGGAAGCAACAGGTATGTCATTGCGAGGACTTTTTCGATTGTGAACGTCGTTCTAACTTCGTACAGTTCCTCAAATTCCAGGCGTTCGCCGAACAATTGACCAAGGAGACCTCTGAGCTCAAGGTCAAGATTGAGAATCACAAGCGCGAAAACCGTCGTCTCACTGGTCTCATTGACCAGCAGAAGGACGATGTGGCTCGTCTCACACTGCGCCTGTCTGGTACAGAGAAGCAGCGCGACGATGCACTTGAGGCGTTGGTTCTGCAACAAGAGATTGCGGAGGAATTGGAGCGTGAGCGGAAGCGTAACCAAAAGGAGCTCGCTTCCTTGCAACACAGCAACGCGTCTCTAGCTCGGCAGCGTGATGATGCGCAGCGGGTGGTCCTGCACCTTCGCAGCCTTATCAATGGCCAGACCCACCACATGGAGCATATCGTTCGCTCGATTGGCAGCTCTGCCGAACTGTCCGGGCTCGCTGAAAAGGAGACCTTTGAGGAGACCAAGGAGGACGAGGTCGAGACCCCTAGGGAACCTGTCAGCTCGCGCTCGTTTGCTACGGAGCCCGTGAAGGCTCCCAGCAGCGAGCCGAGCTCGGATCTGGAGCAACATCTCCTGAACATCGGTAAAGGGCATAATCGTCTCGCGCGTTTAAGTATTACTGATGTTGCAGATCGCTACCTGCGCGACAAGACCGATGCCATTTCGGACATTATCCGCAGCATCAGCGAGCAGTGCGCCGCCGCCGTGGAAGGTCTGCAACTGGCACAGGATGCGGAAGAGGATGACATTGATGACCACGGTCGGACCACCCCGTCCGGTAGCCGCCTGATGCCCAGAACGCACGATGGACTCTTGACTCCTGCGGGTAGCGAGATGGGGGACGGTGACAACAACTCGTTGCACCCGAACGACCGCCATTCGAGTGTTCCTCCAACACCGGACCTAGTCCACAACCGGTCCAGCACTTCGATGTCAATGATCAGTAGCTCGACGTTCCCGGAGAGATCGAGTCAGCAGTATGGGGTTAGTGAGATCCCTACCCGGATAGTCGAGGACAACGATGAACGTGCCCATGAGACGGCGGGCTTTGACGAGCACTCTGAACCTGGCACTCTGTCGAAGCAGGCGAGCGAAGACCTCATGCAGTCCAGCACTTCCCGATTGGTTGTGTAAAAGTGCATTGTCTCTGCGATTCCCTGGTCCAACGATCCGTGACATGACATCTGCTCTTATACTGTTCCAACTGATTCAGAGCGCATTTCTAGCCATGTTTTGGCCTTTTATTTTCTCCTTCGTTTTAATCTTTTTCTTGGGGGACCTCGTGGATATTGGCTCCATTTGATCCAGTTTGGACATATGTCCCATGATTTTCTGCACAGGTGTTAATCTCTTTTCTGGAAGGTATTTCTTGGATCCAAGCCAGTTTTTCTTGGCCTTCTATTCTTGGGACCCCTCGATGTCTTGGGTTGCTGTCTCTTTCCTTCACCGGTTCTATACCATTTTCAATTCTTGGGATCTGTCGCTATCCCCCGCCTTGTAGTAGATCACCTTGGCACTCTGTAACGGGGCCGACCCTTCATTCGCTCGATTTTCTTACTGTGTCATCTTTGTGTTTCCCATTTGTGTATAGTTCCGATTCTCTGGAGAAGGCTGCTTGAAGCTGCCACGTGGAGTCCGTTATATAGGGATCAGCCGTGTCTTTTTACCGTGCAGCCAGTGCTGTACGAGATCATCTCACATTAATTGAACGGTTTTTTAAAAGTACTGATCACCCCCAATCCACACTGTCTGATGTCCTTTGTACTGTCACCTGTACCAAAGCGTGCGTTTTTCGTTTAGGCCAATTTCCCCGGCACGAACGGGTGTCCAGCACTCAGTCCGCCACAAACGGCCCAGGCCTGCCCGTTGACGTAGCTGGCCTCGTCACTGCCTAAGAACAGGGCGACGCGCGCGACCTCGTCGGCGATGGCCCCGCGCTGCAAGGGGTTCAGCTGGCCGAGCTTGCGCTGGGTGCCGCGGGCGCGCGCGGCGTCGAACATCTGCTGCGTCATCCCCGTCTCGATCAGGCCGGGGCAGATGGCGTTGACGCGGATGCCCGTCCCCGCCAGCTGGAAGGCGGCCGTCTGCGCGATGTTGACCACCGCCGCTTTGGAGGCCGAGTAATCCGTCGAGCCCGCGTTGGACCGCAGGCCCGCCACCGAGGCCGTGCAGATGATCGAGCCGCCCGGGTAGGGCTTGGTCGCGGACGTCTGCTGCATCGCGGTCGAAGCGTACTTGACGGCCAGAAACACCCTACCATGGGGACTGTGTCAGCACCAATTACTCTCTCCATGCTTATGCTTGCGCGGTAGATGGGCTCTCTTGCTGCCCCCCTCCCCCCTCCCCCCTCCCCTCCGGGTCAAAACACATGAATAAGGGAAAGGAAGGTTACTGTACGCACCCCACCGTATTCACCCGCAACGTCTCCGCAAACTCCTCCGCCGTGATCTGCGTCAGCAGCTTTTGCTGCCCCACGACGCCCGCGTTCGCGAAGAAGATGTCCAGCCGGCCGTGCGCGCCCAGCGCCTCGGCCACCACCGTCTGCACGGCCCCTTCGTCCGCGGCGTCGAACCGGCGGATGTACACCTTTGTGGCAGGGTACAGGGATTCGATCTCCCGCTTGTGTGTCGCTAGGTGCGTGTCGATGAAGTCGCAGAGATAGACGGCTGCCGCGCCGTTGTGCGCGTATTGGTGCGCCGTGGCGCGGCCGATGCCCGTGGGGGAGTTGGCGCCTGCGTTGGGGGGTTAGTTTTCGGTTTTTTGGGGGTTGGAGTTTGGTTTGGGTTGGTGATTGGGGGTTTGGCCCGGGGAGGTTGTGGGGGTGTGGTGATGCTACTGCTGTTGAGGGGGATTGAGAGGGGATGGGTGGGCTCGGTGCTTGGGAGTATGTAATGCATGTATAGATGGGCATTTACCGGTGACGATAGCGACTTTGTCCTTCACCCGACTATCACTCAGAGGTTAGTTGGCTCTCTGACAGACGATGACTTGAGGGGACTCGGGTATACTGACGGTCCCACGGAGTCAGGGGCAATGGATCGGATTCGGGGAATATCCTCGAAGGTCCCGGCGTCGGGGATGCCTTCCACCAGCTGCTGGCTGAGAGCTTGGAGACGGCGTTTGGCGTTGCCGGACATGGTTATGGGGAGATCGCTTTTGAGAATGAAGAAGACAAGAGATGTATCCACGTGAGATTTGAGCTTACTGTCCAACAATGTCAGTTATATGGTCACTTAAATACGAGAACAGGGGGGTCTCCTCCGTCTTTATATACTCCTCCCAATTGTCCCCGCGGCAGTTCCGCTTACATTTTGCGGAGAACCGAGGCTGGGACGGGTCTGGTCAGGTGACTTGGAGCTGTGGTCTTATGTCAGCAGTCACATGGGTTGCTGCGGCCACACGTCATGGACGGGCAGAAATGCCATTCCGCTTTGGAAAAGCAACCGACATTCCAGACTTGCCCGCGCGCCTGATTCCTCTCGTTGCCCCGTCCCTGTTTTTCTTTTTTCCTTCTGCTCTTTTCGACCTCTCTCTTCCATTATTATCTGAGGCGGTCTACGCTGTGGTCTGTAGCTCACTGTGCAGATCTTCCAGCACTTGCTCCGGTTACGACATCATTCAATCTCCTACAAATGAAAAATCCCGCGAGGCAGCAAGCACCACTGCACAGCTGCTACAGTTGCACGAGACCTGACCACCGTCTCCAAACACCACCTTAAAACCAGCCACACCACTTCCCCGGCCTGAATTTATTCCTGAATCTGTTCATGATCTGTTGAAGTTGAACTAGGAATAGTACAGAAAGCGAGACATCAAAAGTCTACATGAAGACCACAGATCTGCAACCCTCCTCTCGTGTTCACCGCCCTAGCAGCCATGGCGGAGTGCGATCTACCCACGGCACCAGCACCAACACCACCGGCCCCAGTACCGCGTCGTTCGTCCTCGCGGACCTCCTCCTCTTCCCGACACAGCCAGAAGGCTAGGACCGTCCGAGCCCGCTCCCAGAAGCGCCATTCCGCCGCCTCCTCCAACGCGACCACCACGGACCTCACCTCCTTCCCATCCCTTTCTCCGCCAGACCGCTCCGTGGACGGGTTCCTCGGCCAGCCGGCCCTCAACCGCGCCCTGACCAATGTACTGCTGGAAGACCGGGATCTTTATAGCATCAACGACTTCCTACACACGGCGGGGGAGAACAATAACAACACTACCACCACGCGGGATCGGCGAGCCGCCCTAGCCAAATTGACGAGCTCCTCGACCACCGCCAGCGCGTCGGGGCGCGCCGCCCTCTTCGGCGACTCGGTGCCCATCCGGGACTTCCCCGGGGCCCTTCATCTGGCGGACGATGCGCACATCGAACGGCTGATCGCCACCACGGGCGCGGTCAAGCTGGTGCGGCAGTTTGCGCGGGACCTGGCGCAGCGGGATGCGGAGATCTCGGCGCTCCGCCAGCGGGCGGACGCCCGGGAGCGCGAGCTGAAGCGCATGCTCCGCGAGGTCTCGGTCTCGAACCAGGATATTGAGCGGCGACTGTATGCGTTGGAGCACCTCCCCGTGAATCCCGAGGGGGCAAGGGGCAAGGAGAACGGCGGGGCGAATGCGGAGCAGTCTGGGAGCTCGTCGTCGAGCGTACATGGGCTGATGCAGCAGGCGATGGACGACGGGGTGGGGTTGTTGCACGGAGCGGAGGATCTCGGTGGGGCGGAGAATGGGGGGAACCCGGCGCAGCAGGCGACGGTGCGCGCGCCGCAGCGGTCGCTTGAGAGTGACGCGCGCTCGGGCCACTCGAGCCTCGACTCCAACTCGAACCGTAAGAGACAGAGCTCGATCCGGAGCTGGGGCGATTTCATTTTCGGCGGGACGCTAGGGAGTCGGAAGACGAGCCGCGCCAGCAGTGTCATGAGCGGAGCCGAGGAGGAGACGCAGCGGCCTCGAAACGCGAGCAACCCGTCGGCGGGGCGCCGCAAAGCTCTCGATGATCAATTGTTCCAACCCCCGGACGACCAACAACACAGTGGCTTGGGAGCCGGCGAGGTGGTTGGACGGCGCCTCGCGGCCGCCAACGGCGATGACGCCAGTGTCCATTCGCGCAAATCCTCAAAGTCGCTGTCCTCATGGACGGTCAAGCTGTTTGCCGGAAACACCCAACCGAGCAAAGACGATGCGAACGCGGAAAATACCCGCGGAAGAGCTATGTCGGCCAACCGCGAAGCGAACAAGCCTGTGTCACCGGCCATTTCAGCGGTGGCGGCGCTGAAGCGGATCAACAGCAATGTCAACATCCAAGGTGCTCCAGGACGATCCCCTGGATCGGGTGCCTTGGCCAAAGCCAGCCAGGCCGGTCGGAGACAAGGGTCGGCGAGCGTTTCTCAAGGTGCAAGCTCTGAGGCTGCAAGCAAAAATGCCACCAATCTCGGCCCCGTGGAGATGGATGCGATTTTGCCGCTGGAGGATCGACCTCCGACGCTTGCTAACATTTACAACAATTACCAGTCGGGAGATTTGCTGACGGACCGGTTCGGGTTCATCTACGATCAAAGCCGGAAGAGGCGGCAGAGGGAAGCCAGCGATCTGAAAAGGGGTGGGTCGGCAGGTAACCGGCTTAGCATCGCGGAGACTCTAGACAGCCTTCGCAGTGATACCTCAGACGGCGATGATGGCTCCGACTATCGGAATCTATTGCAGGCTACCACTGGTAGCGAATCATCTCCAGCATCTGTATCCCCCAGGAACGCCGAAGCTGGTGCTATTGCGGTTGGGCGATGGCAGGACTATCTGGTGGTTCCGACGGCACCGACTGAACTGCTTTCGCACACCCCCTCCGCTGGTCCCATCATCTCTTTGACTACTGCGGGCGATACTCAGCCGCGCAGCAGCGCAGTAGCTGTCGACAAACGTGGCTCCGTCTCCGTCACCCCCAACGCCCAGCCATCTGCATCCACCTCAACGGTGATTGCCGATCGCCCAGAGTTCGCCGGGCTGTCCTCCGACGAGACTGCCGCGCTGGCTGCCAACGAGAACGAGCCGGTCAAGTTACTGCTAGAGCAGCTGACCGAGCTGCATGATTCTCTGCAGCGAGAAAGAACGGTGAGATGGAACGAGTTCCTGCGCAAAGTGCGTGCCGAACGCCGCAAGGATGGGGAAGCCGCTGCGGCCGCGGCCGCGGCCTCGGACCGCCCTTTGCAGTCTGTCGATACGCCGGAGGCGTCCCTAGCGGACGGCGAAATGGTGGGCATATCTGGTCTGGGCAACAAAGGCAAGGTCGGCCGTGCCAAATGGCGGGAGTTCCGGGCCCTCGTGCTCGGTGGGATTCCCGTCGCTCTTCGAGCCAAGATCTGGTCTGAATGCAGCGGTGCGTCTTCGATGCGGGTGCCCGGGTACTATGATGACCTCGTCCGGGGCGTTGGTGGGAGTGACCCCGACCCTTCGGTCGTGTCGCAGATCGAGATGGATATCAACCGCACCCTGACGGACAATGTCTTCTTCCGCAAAGGCCCGGGGGTGGAGAAGCTCAAGGAAGTCCTCCTCGCATATTCTCGCCGCAACCCAGAGGTCGGATACTGTCAAGGAATGAACCTTATTGCTGCCTCCCTGCTGCTTGTCACACCCACGGCGGAGGACACCTTCTGGCTTCTTGCGTCCATGATCGAGGTGATCCTGCCGGAGCATTATTACGACCACGGCCTGCTAGCGTCCCGCGCGGATCAAGTAGTTCTGCGGCGTTACATATCGGAAGTCCTGCCCAAGCTATCTGCGCACCTTGAAGGCCTGAATGTCGAGCTGGAGGCCTTAACGTTCCAGTGGTTCCTTTCCGTATTCACCGACTGTCTCTCCGCAGAGGCACTCTACCGGGTGTGGGATGTTGTCCTCTGCCTCAACGTGACCAGCTCATTCACCCCCACGAATGCGTCGTCATCCCGCGACACCAACGACACCAACTCGACCACCACGAACAATGCCCCCTCGAGCAGCGGCAGTGGCGGCGGCAGCACGTTTCTGTTTCAAGTTGCTCTCGCGCTGCTGAAACTGAACGAACAGCAACTCCTCACGACCTGTTCCACGCCCGCAGAGCTCTACACGTACATCAACCACCAGATGACCAACCACGCCATCAGCATCGACGGCCTCATCCAAGCCAGCGACGCGCTGCGCAACGTCGTCCGTCGAGAGGAAGTAGTAGCCCGGCGAGCTGATGCCCTCCGCGAGATGCAGGAATTCCCCGCGGGTCGGCCATCTTCTGTTGCCGAAGAGGGTGGTTCTGCCGAAGCATAGCCATCCACCTCACCTCACCTTCTGTAAAACTGCATCCTAGTTCGAATTGCATTTGCATCCAAGTGCCCCACGCCAGCCACGAAAAAAAAAACAGGGCACTCTGCCCCACCCATCTCATGTCGTCCTGCACTACACATTTTGTTTCTGTCTCAGCCTGCCTGCACCTTTCCTTTGCACTGCTCGATACCACCATTAGATATACGACTTTCCTTACGAACCCCGCATCGCCCCCATAGATTGGCCCTGTCTTTTTTTTTTCTTGCGCATCGCTCGCATATCATGGTGAAAGACAACCTTGAATTACTGATTTGCACGAAGTTGATACGACCGATGCTTTGCTTTGCTTTGCTTTGCTTTAACTATAGACCCTCCTGGCTGAGAACTTATACCACTCTTTTTTTATTCTGCAGCATGAAATTAGCAGATGCATGGCCCGGTGACTTGCTTTGATTTGATTTGATTTGATTTGACTTGATTTGAATTGAATTGAAGAATACGAATACGAATATCCCCGTTCCTTTCCCTTGCTTTGAGGACTTGCTTTTTGGATTCTCTTGATAGTTCGTCTTTTCGCTCGTTAAGATTCGTTGTACTCTTTCTTAGTGACGGTGACGGTGATGGTGGGATAGCTGTAGGAGCTAGGGAGGAGTAGGAGCAGGAGCAGGAGTAGGAGTAGGGGTAGTTGCCTCTCAGAGCCCTGAGGGGAAGAGGGGAGGAGGGGAGGGGAGGGGAGGGGAGGGGGCCTGTGGTGGGTGGATGGGTTTGTACAGTAACTTACAGTACAGTACAGCAGTTACACTATACATCGAATGATTCTTCCATATTTCTAGAAAGACTGTCAGTATGTATGGAGTGTGGGTAACGAGGGTGATGATTTGAGGGCGGGTTGAGAGAAATAACAAGGCATAGTCTAGCTCCAGGGAATCTCCGCATGAGCTAGCTAGCGTATTATTCTCATTCTCGGGGGCGCGCGCTGGTCCTAGTCTGGACTTGTTATCCAGTTCTTCTGCTGATATTCGGGGGGTTGAGGTGTGCGAAGAAGATGTTCACTTACTTGCTGGCGTAGAGAGAACTGGACATAGGGAGGCGGCACAGCATGGACTAGTTATAGTTAACTACACCCTAACCTCCTCCCGTGTCAAAAGCATAGCGATTACCGAGATTCCTTCCGATGTATCTGGGCTTACAGGTTAGAGAGCGCAAGTCGTCATTACCGTTACTCCTTGGGAAAACAAGGAGCCACTGGGCTTGACTGCTGGCCTACTTCGGAATACTTCATAATTGCGTCAAACCCGCAAGGCTTTCGCTGTTCGTACATACACAGCAGAGCAAGGGGGAACGCTAGACAGGGTATCTCAAGATTTACTACGAATTCAGTTCAGAAGAGAAGATATAGTCAGATGCCTCCTCGTTCTCCGATCCGTCTCCGCGCAGTCCGGCTGCGGGGGAGTGTTCAGGATGGAACGAGAGCTAGACGGTCTGGCGGGCGGCGAGTCGCGATCGCCCAGGGCAGGAGTTATTGTCGGTTGTGGTTGCGGTGGTGGTGGGATCTGCGGTATCGTCCACGGCGGGATGAATATGCGGTCATGAGTTGGTTTGTTGGTTGGGGGATGCGGTTCGCGGGCGTGTAGGTGTCGGGTTCCGCGCGTTGGCGCCGGTGGTGGGATTTCCGGTTCCGAGTGTAGATCATCTTCAGAATGTCGATCGAGTTCGGGAGATCTTGATGGACTTCCAGGAGAAGACTCTTGGTCACGAGATGCTTCATCTCCAAGAGAAGTCCCATGCATACACTGCCGTTCAGAGCCGCATCTCCCGTGTCCAGGGTAGATAACACCATCAACACCATCAGGGTTCTGACCCCGAGCTAGGGCAACGTCAGCTACCAACCACAAACCACTCGACCGGCGACCGGCCAACTCACCAGCAACAACGAACCAAACCGGCCCAGTATCCGAATGCATCAACGCAAACAAGGCCCGCAACCACGCCTCCTCCCCCTCCACCACATCGCCGATCTTCTCCCTCAACCCCCGAACCGCCACATTCATGCTCTCCGCCTCCGGCCACAGCGGCTGAAGCACATCCTTGTCCCGACGATAGTAGACCCTCTTGTCTCTGATCTCATCCACGAACGCACCGTACATGCCCTGCGGCAGCCGGCAAACCACCTTTCCCCCTTCCCCATCGTCCGTATAATAATACCGCCAATTGGACTGGTGGCGGGTTTCCGGCTTCCCGGCGCGCCGCACGTTGATCTCCACAAAATGTTTGCTGATCACGTTCGCGGGCGGCTTGGTGAAGGTGCCGAGCTCCCCCGCGGCGGCGTTGGCAGGCAGGACCAGGCGGCGCTTGCGGCAGCGCGTCTGGAGATCGCCTTTCAGTTTCATCATGTACTGGAAGAGGTAGAGCATGCAGTTGAACTTGTTGGCGTCGTAGGCCGAGTGGATGAAGAGCGGGAGCTGTGGGAGGCGGTCAATGAGTTGGTCTTCGAGTTGCATGCGGACGCGGAGGTGCCTGATCGGTTTTGTGAGTTGCTTTGCGTCCACGAGGATCTGGTGGAGTACATCGTCCACCACCAGCCAGTCCAAGTAGTTGCCCCCGGGGAGGGCTTTGTGGAGTTCGGACACTGTGAGGTTCCCCATTCTGGGGGTGGGATGCTCTGCTGCAACTGATTGTGATTGGTTTGGTTTGGGTGGTGATCGAGCTGTCACAAGTAAGCGTGGAAGAGTGACACAATCAGTCTGCTGTGTAAAGTATACTGGGGAGAATATAAGAAAAGACCTGAGCGTAGATAGAAGTGTAGATGTTGAAGAAGACTAACTGAAAAACATGGAATGGAATTTTGTGGATAGTGGATACGCAGACAGTGACGGGAACGCGTGCCCGCAGTGGAGATCGACAGAAGGCTAAAAAACCTAGTGCGACGGAAATTCCCCGGACTTGTGGCTTACTAATATACCAGAAGTTAGTTAGTCAGTTATCAAATGCTATTTGGTACCCGAAATAATCGAAAGGACAGGAAATCCCCAGAATCCTTGAGGAAAAATATGTTCAAGAAATGTGCATTTTAGGCAGGTCCCGTAGAACCAGAAAACGAGATTCACAAGACAACAATCCAAAAGTGAAATATGTGTAGCTCTGCTGGTTGGCAGGCGAAAATCCGAAGCGTCCAAAGTCAATACACTAGGCCCGGATGTAGGGAAACTCGCAAGAATTTCTCGGTGTCGAGGTAACTCAACACGTTCGCATCGTCATCATCCATCATCTCGGCATATCTTGGCATGTAAATACACCATAACAAATCATCAGTCTTCAGTAGGTCGGGCCCGGTTTCATACATTCTGGGGCAGTCAGGGGAAGGGGTATCATCGTTGCAATGGTCAAGAATATCAACAGAAAGTTTTAGGGAGAAGGCGCTGGAAGGGCTGGTGCTGATATATTCTTTGATGAGAAGACAATAGGCATGACGTCTCCCACAATTGAGGAACACCACACAGGTGATGCACCGGACTCAGATTCTTCAGCGAGGCAGCATGTCGGGCATCCAAAAGCGGCCATTATCCAAGACACTGTTGAGATCGATCTGGTCCATATTGGGTCGGAGCCCAAGGTCCATCACGTCGCGCGCAACCGCCTTGATCTGCCGCATGATGCTCTGGGAGATGGCCCACGTGCGGGCCAGCGTCTTGAACACGCCGATTGTCAGTGTAAGCCGGTCCCGACTGGGGTCGGGCATTTGGCCGGCTTTCACCGAGCAGGCGGCAAGCTGCACCATGGAGCTCAATACCAACGTGCAGATGAAGAACGGGGTGTGCTTGACGACGGGCATCCGGATCGACGCCAACGTCGAGATTTCGCTGGCGGCCTTGACGGCCTTCATGGCATGGGCATGGTGCGAGAAGGCCGGGATGCTCAGCGGCCCATGATGACCGCAGATCACCTCCGCGGCCACAGCGGGAGACGACAGCAGATCCGAGCGCGGGAAGTGCAGGTAGATAGACGACCCGTTGACGACCATAGTCGCCTGGAACATCATCTCATCCACCGAGCCATCAGGACGCAGAAGCTCAGCCTTGGACTCGGGCAAATGATGGAACCAGCTAGTAATCCGAGCGTCGGTAGCTTCGACCTGATCCTGCTGGCCTTCGACCATATCCTGAATGGCCACCACCCGCCCTAAGATGCGAGCCGCTTCGATGCGGTAGGTATAGGAGGAGAAATCCCGTTCTTCATCTGCGAACGCCCGCTCATCGAATTGTGCGATCGTCAATGGGGGCGGGGGAGCCAGTCCGTCCTGATAAATCCTCTCCTCGCACGGAAGTGGCACTTCCAAAGGCACGGTGTTGCAACGGTATTGCGGCTGAACACCGAGGGCAGTCAGCATGGCTTCAATGATGAACAATTCCCACCAGGTTCGTCTCAGACTCTCCTCCCGCACCGGATCCCCCTCTCCCATGGTCTGGGCGAAGTGTCGGGTGTGTAGCCCGAGCTCAAAAGCCAGGTCCACGGCCATTGCGATGCACACTCCGGCATCAGCTCGCTCGTTCCGCGAATGAAGAACAATGGCCAGCAGCAACAGGGCCTGAACCTTTTCCACCGAAGGATCCTGTTCCATGACAGACGACATGACGGTCGGCCTGTACGTGTCGCTGGACGCTGCGGGGGTGAAGTGAGTGCCAATGAATTTGATCACATGCTCCAGGAAAGGTGGGACATGAGACCGATACAGAATCCGGAATGGGAGCAGAATGGGGTGGGAGGGGTGAAAGTAGGTGTAGTAAATATCAATGAGGTAATTGTCGCCAGGGTTGGAAGAATACGAGTCCGGGGTAAGGGGGCTGTGAGCCGCGCGAAGAGGCTGCGACGAGACCGAGCCATCGGTCGTCAGCTCGGGGCTGGTGGTCGGAAGGGAAGGCGGCAACGTGCTGGTGCTGGGGAGCGGCGTCGTCACTGGCATGAGCGGCATGTTCCCGGGAAGAACCCATTCGGAGGGGACATTGTAGAATGGCTGGGCCTCAAACGAAGCCGATAGGTCGGTAGGGAGTTGATCGGGGGAGGACGGGTTGGCTCGGCGTTTCTTTGACGGGCCTTTGTAGCCGCGACGCGACGGGGTGTATTGGCACTCGGCGCCCGTGGCTGCACAGCGGCCACAGACGGGTGTGTTGCCATCACATTTGAGATGCTTGTGTCGGCACAGCAGGCAGGCGAGGAGTGAAGGCCCGGCGTTCTTGGGTGGGTTGGGAGGTTTGGCCGTCACAAATGGGTTGATTCCCTGGTCCATGGTGGCAGACTGTCATAGATCGATTAACACGGGGGACATCAATATTTTGCGATCCAGCTGCCCCCTCTAAGCTACCCAACAATCAACAAACACATCAGAGTGCATGAATAATGGGTAGGAGCTGTCTTGAGAAGCGCAAAGCCAGAGCGTTGAGGCAAAGCCGAGATCTGGATGGAGCGGGGAGAGCCGCTGTCTGGAATTCTGGGGGGGGGGGGGGGGG